AGAGGGGAGGGCGGAGAGGATACCGGAGGGATGCCCTGATAGCGGTTGTTCTGTATGTAGTTCCGGTGCCGTGTGCCCTCAGAGGAAGATCTCCCGCTGACTGCAAGTGCTGAGGAAGCATGGAATCAGCACCACATGACTCAACACCCGGCTTCCTGATTGGTCGGGAAACCAGGCTGCCTAGCAACAAGTGAAGCCGGTGTTCTTTCACTAAAACACGCGCTTCACATGCAAGCCCGGCCATGACCCCCCCAGGAAGCCGGGTGTTGAGTCATGTGGTGCTGATTCCATGCTTCCTCAGCACTTGCAGTCAGCGGGAGATCTTCCTCTGAGCAGACGTTCCGGTATCGGGGAAGGTATCGGAGTATTTGGGCCAGTACTCCCCAAATACTCTATCGGTTCCTCCCTGCCGGAAAGGTGAGCCCCGCCCTTCATTAACCCTCTGTGTTCCAGGCCCGTGTACAGAGCCCCGCCCATCATTAACCCTCTGTGTTCCAGGCCCGTGTACAGTGCCCCGTCCTTCTTTAACCCTCTGTGTTCCGGGCCCGTGTACAGAGCCCCGCCCCTCATTAACCCTCTGTGTTCCAGGCCCGTGTACAGAGCCCTGCCCTTCATTAACCCTCTGTGTTCCAGGCCCGTGTACAGAGCCCTGCCCTTCATTAACCCTCTGTGTTCCGGGCCCGTGTACAGAGCCCTGCCCTTCATTAACCCTCTGTGTTCCAGGCCCGTGTACAGTGCCCCGCCCCTCATTAACCCTCTGTGTTCCAGGCCCGTGTACAGTGCCCCGTCCTTCTTTAACCCTCTGTGTTCCGGGCCCGTGTATAGAGCCCCGCCCCTCATTAACCCTCTGTGTTCCGGGCCCGTGTACAGAGCCCCGCCCCTCATTAACCCTCTGTGTTCCAGGCCCGTGTACAGAGCCCCGCCCCTCATTAACCCTCTGTGTTCCAGGCCCGTGTGGAGAGGATGGAGCAGTTCGAGAAGGAGAAGGAAGACCTCCAGAAAGGGGCGAAGGAATGCCAGAAGAAGTTTGTGGAATGTCAGAAGAAAATGAAGGACCTGGAGGTGGAAGAGTCGGCCAAGTCTGAGGCGCAGAGGCTGCAGAAGGAGATGGAGCAGCTGAAGAAAGAAGAGAAGAAGTGGCAAAGGAAGGAGGAGGATCTGAAGAAGAAGGAGAAGAACATGCCGTGGAACGTGGACACTCTCTGCAAGGAGGGCTTTAGTAAGGTACCACAAAGCCACTTCCAGGGCCGGGGAGGACTCGGGCATTGGGGCCTGGAAGATCCTCCAGCAGATTGTAGATTTCTCATGTCATGTCTTCCCCCGACGCACATGCTTACTGTCTATGGAGCAAGCTTCGGGCCCGGCATCTGCTCCCTGACTCCCCTCCGCTCTTAGCTGCAGTTATGGTGGGAGCACGGGGCATACTGTCCCCCCACCACCCATCCTACCCAGCACGGGGCATACTGTCCACCCACCACCCATCCTACACAGCACGGGGCATACTGTCCACCCACCACCCATCCTAC